CACACACACACACACACACACACACACACACACACACACACACACACACACACACACACACACACACACACACACACACACACACACACACACTCACACACACACACACAAATGCCCATTCATACAGCTGTCCGAAATATGTGCCAAGAAACATTTCCTAAAAACGAACACAAAAGTTAATAATTTCATGTTTTGTTACTTTTCCATGTTGACACAGACAGCTTGCAAAATCTATTAGACAATCTGAGCGTACGACAGTGGAACTTTTTTGTGCCTGCACAAATCAACGCTCAAGCTAACTTTGCCTTTCATAAGCACAAGGGAGCAACGATCGTCGCCACTGTACGAATGGCAGTTTCGTTCAATTCGCCTCGAGCCCTTATTTAATAACCACATTTCTCTCGGTATACTCTTTCGCAAGCACATGGCTCGATATGGCTAATGTTAGCGATAACTATAATCAAATTTTCAACGCTCACTAAATTATTGATTCTAATTGGTCGTTATTCGATGGGAGGCGATTTCGTGAACAGGAAGGGCTGCGAGTCGTGCGGATCCACGTTCTCACGGTGACGCACGAAAACTTCTCGTTATGATGTTGAATAATGAAAACGGCGAAGAATTGAAATTTAAAGTGCATGTAACAGCAAACTAAAATAGCAGCCAAACTATCTTTCAGATATCATTTATTCTCACTGAATAAATTCTTCATATCTTGGCATATCCTATCAAATTAATCCGATTAAATCCATCGAGCAGAAGTCGGTATTGCGTGTGAACCTAATATGCTACGAGTATAAAATTTATTTTCGAGATAAAGAAGAACCTTGTATAAATCTCTAGTACAAGAGAATAGAAGTGAAATTACAAATTGAATCCAAACCAATTGTGCCGGATAAGCCTGTAACGCGGAACACGCTCACGGGCTCAAACTTTCAACGTTCAAGTGCGAACTGGAGTGAGACAGGGTTGCCTGCGGTTACCATTCGATTTCTTAGTAGGCTAGCTGACATTTGTCTGGTACAAGAGGAAGACCTCCTAAAAAAACTCAATAGGATACCATGGTTTTCGTGGACACAACAGGACGACTGTAACCCTGCAGATGACCTGGCTCTCCTGACAAGTGGTCACGAAGCGATGACAATCAAGACAAACAACCGCCCTGGACGCTACGGAATCACAGCTACGACAACAGGAATGTCCACAGAACCAAAACTGGTGGGGAACTAATACTATCGTTCCTAATGATTGACTTCTATGGAACATAAGACATTCTCGTCCTCTACCTGAGAAATATCATTACCAATCTAGATGAATCCTGGTCGTACTCAGGTGTCTGGGAACGGCAAACACTTTTTTAGTATCTATAACGAGGAATTCATTCAAGTCGTATTTCATATCTGTGCAGAATAGGTCTCTAGAAATCTAGTTTTATCTAGTTAGAAGTCTATATAAGCGATATATAAATAATATAATATATAAAAAAATATATATATAAATATAAATATATATAATATAATATATATCTATATATATATATCTGCGATCTCTGTCTGTCTCTCCGTCTGTCCGTCTGTCTGTGGACAAGCATATTGGGTATATGGGTATTTTGTTAGTGCCTTAACTCTTCTATGCAATCTGACTGTGCCAGGTTAGGAATGAATTCACAATAACACAGACATTTCGGATTTTGGATTTTTTGGATTTTCCATTTTTTTGCTTTTTTTGGATTTATACGCAATATCATGTCTTATTCTCAATTCATTCCTAACCTGGCACAGTCACATTGCATACAACAGTTCAATCACGATGGGCATATAGATCGCAGATATCCAAAATCCAAAACAAAACAAAAATCCTAAAAATACCAAAAAATCAAAAAACAAACAAAAAACAAAAAGCCCCAAAAAACTCAACCCCCCCCCCCCAAAAAAAATCCACAAAATCCACAAAATCCAAAAAACAAAAAAACAAAAAAAAATTCAAAAACCGAAAAACCCGAAAAAACAAAAAAAATAATACTAAAAACCCCAAAAAATCCACACAAAAAATCCAAGTCAAATTCAACTTAAAATCAATTCCCCCATCATGGCTTTTTATCGTGGGCCCTTCATGGCTGCCACGGAGTGGCTGTTGGCCTCTAGTATATATATATATCAGTTAATCCTGGTAACTAACAATACACATACCAGTGTGTTGTATGTTTAGGCATTTGTCAATACACTGTGTATTGTTAGCGAGCTTTCAAGTTTTCAACAATACACTGTGTATTGTTGAACACCTTCTAACAATACACTGTGTATTGTAGTAGGTACCTATGAGCTTTCAACAATACACTGTTTATTGTTTAACACCTTCTAACAATACACTTTTTTTTTGTTCTTTTTTTTTTGAAATTGACATTTATTTAAATGAATTTATTGAAGTTATTTGATTGATTTGATTGAATTTTTTTCATTTTATTGTCGGGTACCTACTACAATACACAGTGTATTGTTAGAAGGTGTTCAACAGTACACAGTGTATTGTTGAAAGCTCATAGGTACCTACTACAATACACAGTGTATTGTTAGAAGGTGTTCAACAGTACACACTGTATTGTTGAAAGTGTATTGTTAGTTACCAGGATTATCTGATATATATATATATATATATATATATATATATATATATATATAAATTATAAGCGATATATAATAAGCAAAAGCTGTTTTTTATACGCATGCTCTATACCATCGGGCATCCTCTAAATATGTACCTGCTAAATACAATAGTTTGCGTACAGCTTTCTCAAGATAGCTACACATGTATACCATAAAGCTGTCGAGTTTTGCATGCCGTGTTTCGAGTATTGTTTACTAGACTTTTACAAACCGTTCAAATAAAAGCCTCCCTTCTTGGAGTTGTTATTATACTATGCGAACGTTTGGACTTTCTGTCTTGTCGCATCTCTGTCGAAGGGTTCTACAGACCTGCAATCTGGAACAACCCTACGAGGCTTAAATGTAGTGGTGGTGTAATGGTACCCGTCCGACCGCGTCCCGATAATAGTGGAAATATATGCTAGAATTCACGTTTCTTCTTGTACCGACAACAATCATTCAAACGTTGCAGTGTTAATAACAACGGCTGCTAGGGAAAATCAGCTATGAAATTCGACAAATTCACAACGCAACTAGCGAGGTAGGAATGTAATAAGTATTAATAGTAATGTAATAACTAGTAATAGGAATGTAATTGTGCCAGGATGGCGCATCCGAGAATCCTAGAGAAGTCTCTAGAACAATTATTCCATTACGTATACGAAACTATCTATACTAACAGCGTGGATGACGGGGAATCTGCATTACTGATGTTGTTACCACACACAAGCTATCTCCCGTGGACTGTGGTATGTTGTTTTGTCGTGTTCTGTTTACGACGTAATTGTGAATTTAATCTCTAAAGCGCCTTACGCCTCCTCCCTTCTCTCGCTGCGTGGATTTCAATTTGTCACCATCGTTATGCGGACGTCCTTTTTGATTGCCTCTAATGACATAGTACGCCAACTCGCTACCGCAGCGTGCTCAGCCGCGAATGTGGTTGTCCATGAAAGGTTAATAGTGATCGCTGGCCGCCAAGCTGACTACACGGAAAAGGCAAACAATTACGCAGGAGAAAAAACTGCCCCCTTATTATGTCATTAATCACTTGTCACTGGGCTTAGTATACGTAGACTGTGTTTAGATCGCTATCGTTTTGTTGTAATATATCCGACTGTATATAGGCAGGCTTCGTGGTAAAGATGGCGCGCGTAATTAATTCATCATGCATAGGTCCATATACACTATTATTTCATTTGCCTTCTGAATGCATCAGGGTTAAAATGAATGCACAATCGCGTCATTTAACATTACTCACGTTGTATGCGGAAACTCTGGCA